CGTGTACAATATGTAGTATCGTAAAATACCAGCAAACAAAAAAAATTAAATGGAAAACACAAAATTAAATGAAAAAAAATCGTAAACCCAAACCCCCCCCCAACCTTTTAATACCGGTTGGTGTCACCAACCGGTACTAAAGGGCTCCCTGCCCCCGGAGCTGGCTCGTGCCACGTGGTTGCCCTTTAGCACCGGTTCGTGCTGAACCGGTACTAAAGAGGGGGCCTTTAGTGCCCACACTTTAGTGCCGGTTACCGAACCGGCACTAAAGGGCCTTAAGAACCGGTGCTATTGCCCGGTTCTGCACTAGTGAGCACAACTGGACAGGTTCTACTAGGTGTAGTTTCTGTGATCGGGATGAAACTATCAAGCACCTTTTCTTTGATTGCCCGTTGGCGAGGGTGTTGTGGCGCTCGGTGCAAATTGCCTTTAACATTACTCCTCCGAATTCGGTCAGGTCGTTATTTGGAACGTGGCTTGTTGGGATAGAGCCCGAGACAGCTAGACAAATTCACGTAGGAGTATGTGCGTTGTTATGGGCAAGTTGGGACTGCAGAAATGATGTGGCTTTTAACAGAACAACAACTATTCATTTTTTGCAGGTTTTATTCCGGGCTACCGCGCTAATCTGTTTGTGGTCCTTACTCACTCCAACGGAGGCCGGGGAGCGTTTGGTTACTGGATCTGTCCGATGGAAGATGGTAGTGCGGGATATCTTCAACCGGTTTGGATGGCGGTCATGTAATAGGATAGACGATTAGTTTACCTATCTCTCTTATGTCAGCCGGTTGTGGCGTTTGGGTCTTTTTTTGCTTTTATAGCTCTTTGTGAGCCAGCTTTTATTTTGTTGCAAACTGCAAGACCTTGTAGGACTACTTTTTTATTCATTAATGTGGCTGTGCCCCCTTTTTGGAAAAAAAAAAGCATACATCAGGCTTGCTTTTCCTTCTTAGGACCCAGCACTATATTCAGCAGGCCCGTGAGTGTTGCCTCAGGACCTTGATGGACGCTCTCCATGACCACCCACCAGTTTTGATGGAATCCAGCTATAATCTGTTCGGCCTGCCTGAAGAGCAGCATGTGACCTTGATGACCATTCATCGGTAAGGAAATCCACCAGTTTCGACATGGAAATGGAACGAAATAATGGACCTGGGTGGCAACGTGTAATGGGCCATTGCTCTCGTGCACGAGATCGTGGGGAGGTGGCAACCGCGTTTGTAAATCCAGCCCGTGAAACAACCACTAGCTCCCCAACTCCATCAGTTTGGGCATGGAATGAATTTAGTGGGTGCGGGTGGCAACGTGGATGGATGCAGGTGAAGTGATGGGATCGAGAGAGCACCCACACTAATCTACCGTCTGCCTATATAAACCCCACTCTTTGCTCTCACTCGTGTCCATTCTCTCCACTCCATTCGCTTTGCTACTAGCTAACACAGCCACCCGTACATAGCACTAGCAGCAGCAGCAGGGTAGCTCCTCAGTCCAGTACGTGAGCAAGATCAGCAGATCGATGGCGCTCTCTCGTCGCATGACCGCGTCCGCCCTCCTCCTGCTCTTCCTCCTCGTCGCCACGGGTACATGCCGCCTCCCATCCTCACTCTTAATTCCCAGCGAGCTGTGATCTGTTTCCTGGATGACCCTTAGTTGCTCAATGTGGTTTGGTTGATGTGCATGCAGAGATGGGGACGACGACGACCAAGGTGGCGGAGGCGCGGGACTGCCTGTCGCAGAGCCACAAGTTCAAGGGCGCCTGCCTCAGCAGCAGCAACTGCGCCGCCGTCTGCCGCACCGAGAGCTTCCCCGAGGGCGATTGCCACACGCCGCACTTCGCGCGCAAGTGCTTCTGCAAGAGGCCCTGCTAGGCCGCACGCTGGCCCCGCCCTGCCGGCCAGCGCCGAGACGTCCGATGCTACATCATCCGTGCCGTTAGCTAATAATTAGCTTATATCTGTTCTGTTGGTCGGTGCGTCCAGGTTCGTCAGTCAGTCGTACTAGTTCTTAACTAGATCATCCGTGCCGTAACTAGTTCTGTTCTGTTCATCGGTGCGTCCCTCTTAATCAGTAGTACAACTAATAAAGTAGAAAAATCAATCGGGGTCTCTGTAGTTTACTTCGCTGTACGCCGTGTTTATGCCTGATTTGTGTGTGGTGATGTAATAAATATGTTCGTTGTTTCAGCATGGATGGACTTGTGCAATGCATCCCCCTTTCCCCCCTGTCTCTGTGTAAGTGTGATCGTGTTCAAAGGCAAATGCTAGTATTATTGCTTGTGACTACTGCATTTTCATGTGACAAGACGTTTTTGGAAGCTGCATAAAGATTTCATTTGTATACATGAACAACTATAAGTTGAACGTAACCTTGTCAAAAATTTAACGCTAGATTGTAGGCCTTTTCTCTATTAAAAAATACCTTGTCAAAAGAAACCAAGTTTTCTTTTGAGAAAGAAAATAACATAGTAGAGCATTAACATGAGTACAACTTTTCTTTTACTAAAAGAAACAGCTTTATGTGCACTGGGATTTAATTAAACCAGCTGGTCTACAAATCATATTTTTCTACCTTTAATAAAAAAATATTACACATGAAAATCAGAAGAAGAAAAAAGATGCATAGACCACCATTTCCTTGGAAGAACAATTCCGCAAAAGCCCTCCAGAGTCTAACCGTACAGAGATATTTTGGTAAAGCGCTCTGGATACTCCTCCTAGTAATAAGGATGTGCCGTTGACTTAGCGTGGGGTAGGAGGATGGATATAAATCCATCCAATCACACACTATAAGCAGAGACAATGTAAGATTGTAAGATGTTTCAAGAGTTGCTTGAAAAAAATTCTTAAACAACGATACTTTTTTTAGGTGACTAAGTAAGCATTTATGCTACACAAATAAATATTGGTGCTTTATAAAAAACAGGTTCATTTTTACAAGCACCTATATAAATACTTTGTGTTGCACATGGGCTAGCACACACCACAAGGCAGGCATCATGATCTGCTCACAATTGGGACAAACCTTATGGGCCCTCATGAGTTACATGTGTCCCATATGCCGAAGTTTTTTTCAGTGGTATACTTTTATATTTTATTTTTTAGACAAAATTTTATATTCTTTTAAGTTATTGTAGTCATGTGACCCACAATTTTTATTTAGCGCTCATTTTAGAACGACAGGGAGATCATCCTATTTTTGTGCCTTGTGCTACAAATAGAGCCTATAACACAATATTGACCGTCCCAATAACTCCCGTACCCTCCTCACTCGCGAAACTATCACAAAAACTATATCTCACTTACGGTGAGTTATTGCAAGTGCTCTCTCAGAGAGCTCTTGATTTGGGTCAGCCCGCCTAGGAACCGAGGGTGGGGACGGTATTTGCTTAAAGCCTTTTCGCGCGGGTTCTTTTCATGTGGTTTTATTTGGGAATCGGCTTCTCATCCATTTTAGTGTTTTTCTTGAGGTCTTGCCTTTTTTCTCCTTTTTAGAACTTTTTTCCTGTTTATTTGTTATTTATTTTCTGTTCCTTTTTTTCTCTTTCCTTTCCTTTCTCTCTTTATTCCCGGTTCTAATTTTTTTGTTCATCATCTATTAAAAACAAGTACATCGTCTATTTAAGAAAAAAAATGCATATCTGAACATGCTATCGTGTATTTAAAACAATTCCAATGTGTATTAAAAATGGTAACCATGTATGTATTAAAATGTATAGAGTGTACTTTAAAAATGTTCCAGTATATTAAAATATGTTCATCGTGTAGCCCATCTTGCTTCAAAAATAAATGCTCATATTTAAAAAAACATCAATGTATATTTTAAAAGGGTTCGGTGTATTATTTAAAAAATCACCATGTACTAAAAATCCTAGGTCAGATTTGTAGCTAAGTCCAAGATCATTTGGTTACTTATGATAACCGTAGCTGACGGACTGGATCATATCATACGCGGATTCACGCACCCTCCCATGCATCTGCTTCTGACATGTGCACGTATGAATCTGCTTCTCATCGCATGGAGTGACTAGGCGTACAGTAGGCTCGGTTTGCGTACAGCCTTGATGGCCGCTCCACAGCCACGCATCGGGTGAAGCTGAGCAGCATGTGACCTCGACGATCCCCGGCTCGCTAGAATCCAACGACGGGCCATTCATCGGTAAGGAAATCGAGCCCGTGAAATGACCACTCCCTCAGTCCTACTTACTACTACGCTACTTTCGGAATCGAATGAAGTTATTGGACGTGGGGGGTGGCAACGTGGAATGGCCCCGCCCTGCCCTGCTACTGTGCATATGCATGTGCAGTGTGGGTGAGCAGCAATTGCATGCTCTGCTCCTGTAGGCTGTACTGGATCTAGGTTAGCAGCAATTATATCCAAAAGGACACTACGCTTTGTTAAGCCCACGGCTTAAACACCCATTAATCTGCCGTCTGCCTATATAAACCCCACCAGCCCAGCCCACTCTTCGCTTCTCAGTTCTCACTCACCGCTGTCCATTCTTCTCCATTCGCTTTGCTAACACAGTCCCCAGTAGCAGCAGCAGCAGGACAGCTCAGTCTCGGGTGAAGCTGAGCAGATCGATGGCGCTCTCTCGTCGCATGGCTGCGTCCGCCCTCCTGCTGCTGGTCCTCCTCGTCGCCACAGGTACGCCCCGCCTCTCACTCATCCCACCCAGCGAGCTGTGGTTTGGTCTTTTACTTATCGTGGTTTCGTTGATGTGCATGCAGAGATGGGGGCGACGACGGTCAAGCTGGCTGAGGCGCGGGACTGCCTGTCCCAGAGCCACAAGTTCAAGGGCGCCTGCCTCAGCAGCAGCAACTGCGCCGCCGTCTGCCGCGCCGAGAACTTCCCCGACGGGGAGTGCCACACGCACAACTTCGCCCGCAAGTGCTTCTGCAAGAGGGCCTGCTAGCCCGCCTGCTCGATCGCCCCGACCGCCCTGCCGGCCAGCGCCGCCACGTCCGATGCTAGCTAGCTGTTAGATCGTCCGTGCCTTTTGGTAGATCTGTTCGTCAGCCCGTTCCCGTTCGTCACTAGTAGCTGTTCGTGTGGCTGTCTCCCGTAATAAAGTACGAAATCAACCGGGGTCTCGGTAGTTTGGTTCGCAGCACGTCGTGTTTGTCGCTGCTTTGTGTGGTAATGTAATATGGTCGTTGTTTCAGTATGGACGGACGTGTGCACTGCATCTAAATCTGAGGATGGTTTCATACTTAAACCATGCCCGTACATGTATCTCTCAAAACCATACTTAAACCATACCCGTTTAATGTCATTTTCAACCCAACCAAAATTAGATCCTCTATTTTTTCCACCCAAACAAATTTAAACTAATACATAACCATGGGTTTAAACCCAATACATAACTATGGATTTGCTTCAATGTATATATGATTGCACAAATCGACATGTTAAGAAGCAAATGACATAAAAAAGGCATAAGTGCATCTACAACAGTTTGGGAACAAAGTTATCGTTGAGATACAGTCAACACACAGTAAGAGTTAAAAAGACAATGCCCACGATTGAAAAGCTCACTAACAAGTGTATTAAAACCAATTGCTTAGTTAAAGCACAAGCAAACACATTCGATTTGCATGTGGTATTTCCCGTAATACAGAATTACATAGTGCATCGCAGCATGTACGCGGATCAAAGATACTCGTTGTCGATGTGTCCTTACTTATTGCACATAACCAATGCCCAGAAACCGGTTTGGATCCATAGTTTATAGCCGTTAATAACCAAATTGTTTAAGCCCATAACCAACTATACCCAAATTGGTTTCTTCACATACCCAAACCAAAATCAAACTAAAAAAGATTCAGCCCAATAAAATCTGAACCAATCAAACCCAAAGTAAGAACCGAACCGTTTCATCCAGTTTTTTAGTAACCATTCTCAGGTTTAACTGCATCTCCCTCTGTCTCTACTAAATCAGCATCTTCAAAGAGAACTGCTATTATTGTGACTACCACATTTTTATCTGACGAAATGTGCTTGGATGCTGCGTGAACATTTCATTTGTACACATGAACAACTAAAAAAGCTAAGTTGTTTGTACGAACTTTCTTTTATCAGGAAAAAATACCTTGTATCTATTCAGATTTTATTAAACTTGCTCTACAAATCGTATTTTCTACTTTCAAATAATATAAAGTTTGGACATTAAAAAATAACACATGCGTAGACAACCATTTCCTTGGAAGGACAATCGGGACTGCACAAGCCTCCACTGTTCAACCGTATGGAAACATTTGGGTAAAGCGCCCTCGATGCTCCTCCAAGTGATAAGGATACATCGGTGACTCATCGTGGGGTCCCAGAGGGCAACAGAGAATGAACGCACGTCCATCCAATCACACACTAAGAACGTGTACAATGCAAGCTGTTTATATATAGAGGTACTTGTAAAACATAAACCATCTTTTCTTATGCATCGGTGCTTTTTTTATGGCATAGCTGCCCAAGCAAGTGATAATGCTATGCAAGTAAGCAGCGATGCTTCAAAAAAGACCCATTCATTTTTACAAGCACCTCCCTAGGTACGTTGCATTGTACATGACCTAACAGAGATCGCGAGGGCAGGTAGAGCGATCTGACAAAAGAACAAACCCTATGTGCCCTCATAAGTTCCACGTGCTTCGTATGTTGTATGCACCTACTTCCATGTTCTTCCTTTTTTTTTTCTTTTAGTGGACCACTTTTGTGTTCTATGAATTGGTCGCGTGATCCACAATTCCTATTTAGATGAAGAGCAACAAGGAGCTCCAACAATTTGTTATGATAACACCTATTTGCCCATGTTTCGCACAGGGCGCCCCTCAACTAGGCCGACCAAATGGCGAGACACTAGAGCGAGCGGTTTTTTAGGCGCTTTTTGTTTTGGTCTATTTTCTATTCAACTAAAAACATGGAAAACTATTTTCAGAAGTGAAGATTTTTAGCAAATGTGATCTTTTACAAAAAATTAATATTTGAGAACAATTTTTGAGCAAACACCAAAAAAATTGGAAAATCTTGAAAAAAAAAATTTAAAATGTACAAATATTTTAAATGCGAAATTCTTGGGAATTTGGAATTTCAAAACATTTTTTGAAATTTAATTTTTAAATTTCAAAGAACTTTGAATTTTCTGAAGAAAAAAAATTAGAAACTAAAGAACATAAAACAAGACCGGCTTCTCAAAACCGATAAAAGGTGGACATTCTCAAAACCAGGATTCCAGTAGCTAACTAAAATGTCAGCCAAACTCATATCACTCGGTGGCTTGTCAATGCGATTACCTGGCAATTTGACACAATAAATGTCAAAAGGAAATTGCCATTTGACACCTTCTGCTTTTTTTGACATGATAATACGTGTCTCAGTAATAAAATAAAGATTTAATTACAAGCCATGTAAATATCGATATTACAGGACTGTAAAGATAGGATAATCCTATGCAAAAAGAAAAAACAGAGCTTGTCCCTGCTTCGACTAGAGCCTGAAACACAGCAGGGCCCGTGTCACTCTTTGCTCGTAGAAAAAACGTAGCTACACGAACGCTGCTATACTTCGCAAAAGCTATAAATCGCTTATTGCCAAACGTATCGTAGCCTCACCAACAAGGAGCAGTCTTTGGAAGTTTCTAGAAACAGGTGCAGATTGCTCTTAGAACCTTATGTGTAGTGTTTTTATTCTTTGTTTTTCTCTAATTGTTTTGTTTTTTTACTTTTTTTTGCCTGGTCTTCCTAGGTTTTGAACTAAAGAATTAAAAAAAAATGTGCGGAAAATGTTACTTTCTTCCACAAGAGACACAGACTTAGCTTCTCATGGAGGCACAACTTTGCTTTCACAAGAGGCGCAACTGTGCCTCCTAAAAGGGGAAAACACGTTTATTTCCTTCTGCAAAAAAAAAAAAGATTTGCTGCTTGTGGAGGCACATGTTTACTTCCTTGTGCCTCTTGAAAAAGGCAAAAATATGTTCTTTTCTTTCACGAGAGGCACATATTTGCTTCTCGTAGAGACATAAATTTGCTTCACGGGAGGCACAGTTGCGCCTTTCGAAAAAGAAAATGAAACACGTTTTTTCTTACGCGAAAGGCACATATTTGCTTCTCATGGAGGCACGTGTTTACTTCGCGAGAGGCACAACTGTAACTCTCAGAAAAAAGAATAAAATCCATTTTTTTTTGTTTCGCGAGAAGCACATATTTATTGTGCGAAAAAAAAGTTATTTTCTTTCATGAGAGACACAGACTTGCTTCTTATGGAGGCACAACTTTGCTTCCACGAGAGGCGCAGCTGAGCCTCCTGAAAGGGAAAAAACACGTTTATTTCCTTCTGCAAAAGAAAGATTTGCTGCTCATGAAGGCACTTGTTTGCTTCCTTGTGCCTCTTGGAAAAGGCAAAAACATGTTCTTTTCTTTCGCGAGAGGCACATATTTGCTTCTCATGGAGACATAAATTTGCTTCGCGGGAGGCACAGTTGTGCCTTTCGAAAAAGGAAACAAAACACGTTTTTTCTTACGCGAGAAGCATATATTTGCTTTTCATGGAAGCACATGTTTGCTTCGCGAGAGGCACAACCGTTAACTCTCAGAAAAAAGAATAAAATCATACTTCGGACTCAGGTTTTCTTTTCTTCCTTTTTCGTGGAAAAAAGTTCATCGAAACCTATTAACATGAGATCTAGTTTCGAAGATCTCGATGAGAGAAGTACAACGATGAAAATGGTTTGCAGTTTGAACGCGCGGTTTAATATTTTTTAAATTCTTGATTAACAATTTTTGAATACAAGATTAATATTTTCTGGTGCCTCTGGATGGGCAGAGGCCACCGGTACGGGCAGCTTGCCCCCCTTAACGGTCGTCTGCTTCCTACCACGCAATATACACCGAAAAGTTTTTGTTTCCTTACAAACAAGGGCCCAAGATTATGCATCGAACACCCTAAAGCTTTTGTTTCCTTACAAAGAAGGCCAAAATTAGAACAAGGCATGGGGATTTTAGCTGGAAATTTTGGCAGCATAACGCGTTAGGTAGCCAAAGATTTGAAGATCATAACAATTATGTATGGTATATTATAACTAAGATATCACATACATATGTGTGGGCAGAAATACAACTTGTGCGACCTCAATACTCCTAGCATCAATACTATGATTTTGATCTCTAAGAGCTAGCTACTTGCTACTCCAATGTGTGAGCTATCATTTGTTTGCTATATTTTACAATCCATCGTCATGGCTTGAGGCTTCATGACCACGACATCCGTCCTTCCCTTCTTCAGTCCACAACACAAGCTAAGGAGAACCAGCCATCAAGAGCAACCAAAAAGCATATGACTAGCTCAGATTTACACCATCCATCCATCTCCTCATCCGCGTGTGTTGTGGCTCCAGGCCCCTACATAGGCAGAGAGACAAAGAGAGAACAAGATTAACTAATTGATCAGCGGCCAAGTTACAAGCTCTCCACACCACAGAATCAACACTACCAACAAAAACACAACCAAACAACTACAGAGGCACCATAGTCGATCTCCTAGGAAGATGCTACAGCCACAAGAAGCATATTCTCAGCATTGTAGGAAAAAGCTACTGCACAAGAAGAGTATTATTCTCAGAAAAAGCTACTGCCACAAGAAGACTATTATTCTCATAAAAGGCTACTGCCACATGCCTAAACATTGTCGTCTACAAACTAAACTCATCTAAGCTATCTTATAAACCAAAAAGTGTTTATTGGCAGGATGGTTTAAATCTCACACACTAGGAGGAAAACTCCAGTAAAAGGTTGCAATACTATATGCAAGATCACACAGGTATCCATGATTTCGGTACCCCGCAGAAAAACAGTAATAATAAACCCAAAAAAGTGCCAATATATGCATCTGGTTCGGCATAAGTTTGAAACAAGCAACATGTCACTT